AGAATATCAATTTATGGACGGGAAGTGCAGGAACATGCTTGCCTTGTGTGCCTGGCATCTGGGACCTTGGCTAGCTTGCTCTGATGCCCCGGATGGACCAGCAGGGTCTTGCAGCCTTAGATACCTAGACATTCCACGTTCCACGCACAGAAACCAGCCTCGCACACCCCGTAACCTGTGCCTCTCCGACTGCAGGCACTTTCCTAAGTTCCCAGGTTCTGAACTGTGGAGTATAACCGGGGTGGGAAGTCATACTTACCATTCTGGAAAAGCCATCAAATCTCCTGTGTACACAGATGAAAATAGCACTGTGTTAGGGCGATGGCTTTATTATAGGTGATATTTTTTTCTTTTCTTGAAATTTGCTTTTAACTTAATGCATCATCACCTTTCCAGAAACAAAATAGTCGTATGTACACATTGATGCATCGACCCTACAGAAATCCTAAAGGCAACGCGGCTGGCTTAACTCTTGTACAATGTGCGCATACGGGAAGGTCCAAGTTCCCCTGCCTGGTTTGGGTAGTGTGGATTATCCAATAGGCAAGGTAAGCACAGTGCTTACTTTGCTTACCAGATCATCTGTAGTGAACAGTTTTTTTCACCACGTCAAAGATTCTGCTTCTGGGTCTGGCTGGCATCTCTCTCTCTCCCAACCCTACAGCACCTTCCTACAGAATCAAAGCCTCTTTTCAAATTTACAATCTCTGACAGGGACAGATAACTCAGTGAGCAAGGTAAGCACAGGATTACTTGTGCTAACTTCCTAATCTGTAGTGAAACCCATGTGAAATGTTCCCTACAGACTAGGAAATAAGCACAGGTGAGCCCGTGCTTACCTTGCCTGTTGGATAATCCGCGCCTGCAGGCATCCCTCCTTAGTAAGTCTGGGCTGCAGATCTGCCAGCCTGGAGGACACACCCTGAGCGTCTCCCTGAGTTAAACAGGAAGGTAGAGCAGATGTGTGTATAATAGTGTGGAGCTGTAATCTTTGGGAAGAGCTTTTGGAGTCTCCTTTCATCCAGACACCCAAGATTTCGCCTCTTGTTTTAAATTGTTTAAGTGTGCAAGGCACTTTGGGAAATCACTAGCAGTCTTTTTCAAGCCTCGTTCACTGAATACACAAAAGTAGAACTAGACGGGCTAGAAGAGCCAACGTCCAGTGGTGAAGACACATGTCTCCTGTTGGGAAAAGGGCTGTAGGGCCCATGCCCCCTTCGCTTTCTGTCACCCTGAGGCAGAGATGCTCTGCCACCTCCTCCCTGCTCTATTGTGGCGTCCCAGGCCCTCTGGTCACCTGTCCCAGTGCTATCAGCTGCCCATGGGCCCCAACCCCCCAGCCCCATGCTAGCTGTGAGCGCAGGTCTCAAGACAAAGGTGCAGGCAAGCTGAATGACAAACCCTCTCCCCTCGGCCCATTCTCCCCCCGTTGTTTTCAGCGGCCCTCTTCACAGGCGCCAGCTGCCTCATTAAAGGCAGCCTTTATGCTCCCTTCACCTGTGCCCACCCTGCAGCAGCCCCTCAGCCCAGTGGCTGCGAGAGAGGCTCCTGCGGGCCGGCGGAGGCACAGAGCCTGCAAGCCGGCAGGGCGCGGAGGGAGCTGGGCCAGGGCCGCGGCACAGGTACAGCTTTCCTTCCTTGTCTGAGCGGTCAGAGGAGGTGGCCTGGGGAAGGGTGAAGGTCCGGGGTGGGTGTCCTGGCTTCTTCTAAGGTCCTCCCTTCGGAGATCTTAGCAGAGAGCTCCCTGCTGAGCACAGGGCCTTGTTCCCAAGGAGAAGCCCCCAGGCAGGTGGGTGGCCCGAGGGACCACCTTGTGGGGGAAGCAGGTGTGTGCGCTGGCTCCGGGGGAAGCAGAGAGGCAGGAAGATGGGAACTTCCATGGGATAGTACACTTCTGAGCAGGGGCCAGTCTCTCGGTCCCATGGTGCTCACGGCTCCTGTCCTTACCAGTCACGTATGGGGCAGGTTTTACCTAGCGTTTCATCTGATTTGTTTTTCTCTATTCCTGGTAACAAGGACCGGCCCTGCCCTACAGTGCCTTCTCGCTCTACTGTAACCCATAGAGTCACTGAGGTAGTTCCTGAGGGCGTGACTTCTCACCTCTGCATCGCAGGAGGGCAGCGGTTCACTCAGAAACCCCCTGAGGCCCGCTGATGTGGAAAGAAATGCAGGCTCAAAGGATAAAAAGAAATGGGCTCCCCATGTCCATTATGGGCCGAGCGCGTGGGCACGCACCTTCAGTTCCGTCACCTGCTGGCACTGCTGTACTTCCCAGAGTCCTGCTCTGCCCTCAGCCTCTCACCCCACGTCCTCAGGAAGTGTCTGCTACGTCAGCCCCACCCTCTGCCACATTTTCCCCTCGCCAACGGGAAAGTTGCTCTCTTGGTTGTAGGCTGACTTAATCCTCCAAACTTCTGCTGCACTTGGGTTGTTCCATAACTGACAAGTATGCTGGAAAAGGTATGTGTGCACATGGGTGTGCAAGTGAGTGATGTGTTTCTATGTGTGTGTGCAGTGTGGGGTGTGTGTCTGTACATGTGTGGTGTGATGTGCATGGTGTGTGTGCATGTGTGTGCATGTGAGTGTGGTGTGTGTGCGCATGTGCGTGCACGTGAGTGGCGTATTTCTATGTGTGTGCCTGTGGTGTGTGTGTGTGCATGCACGTGTGCTGTGTGTGAGCGTGTGTGTGCACGTGCCTTTGTGTGTGGTGCGTGTCTACATGTGTGGGGGTGTGTGTGTGGTGTGCACGTGGTGTGTGTCTGTTTGAGTGTGTGCGTGCATGCGGTTAGCCGTGGGGTGGGGCCCGACAAGTCTGGGGCAGCACTCCCTGGTCAGGCACCAGGGCTTTCTGGGGCTGCTTCATCTCCGGCCAAGTCCTTCAACAGCAGAAGCCAAAAGGCCAAACTCTGGTGAAAAGCCCTGGAGTGCTACCTCCTTCCCTCTGACTGCCACGGGGACATTAAACCTTCAGCGAGCTGGGACTCAGATGGCTGGTTCTTGGTTCTCTGCCTGGAAAAACAGTAGGCGAATAGTAAAACCTTAAATTCTAACATGTGTAAGTTATACATCTTATTTTCATTTTCAGCCTGCTCCCCTCTGTAAGACATCAGGAAAAAATTACCGTCTGACTTCTAATATCTCAGTGGAGCGTTTATCTCCCAGCTATGATAAGTGAGCTTCGATATTTTTTTCCTTTCACATTAAGAAACAAATTCATTTAATTTTCTTTATTGAATATGCTGGGCCTCCCCCGCCCTGCGGCGTCTCGAGAAGCCTGAGCTGTTCTGCCTGCTGGTGACTGCCTTCCTGTCTGCCCTGCTCCCTCACGGCACCGCCCCCAGAGCATGGCACACAGGCTGGCCCCAGCTGGCACCACCAGCTCCACCCACAGCAGCGACAGGGGCAGCGGCCCGGCCTAGGGGGAGTCCAGAGGGTTCTGGGGCCCAGAGTTAGAAGGCTTTAATCTGAACCATATCTGAACTTCTTGAGCCCGAAGGCCGGGTTGGGAGCTCTTGAGACAACTGGTGTCTCCCAGCGTGCTAGGACCGATGCCTCCATATGGCTGTACCCACAGCTGCAGCCTCATCTTGGCCATCCTGTGGTCTCCCCCTTTGCTCCTGCTGCCACCTGAGTGGGCACTGGGTGGGAAAGGATGGCTTGGCCCTGAGCACACTGGGATGGCCTGTGACTCTGGGCTGGGGGAATGTGAGTGTCCTGCCTAGTTCTGGACATTGGGGTGGGGGGCACGGGCGGGATGTCACTGGTGCTGAGGTGAAGCCACTGCGCCTCTCTGCACTGATGGTGCAGAGTACCAGATGCTGATGGGGCTTGGGAGTCGGTGAATGGTCAACACACCCTGCTGCTAACCAAAAGGCTGGAGGTTCACGTTTCCTTTAGAGGTGCCTCGGAAGAAAGGCTTGGTAATCTACTTTCACAAAATCAGCCACTGAAAACCCTACGGAGCACAGTTCTACTCTGACAGATGTGGGGTTTCTATGAGTCAGAGCTGACTTGACGGCAACCGTGTCTGGGTTTGTAATTAGGCTTGTGTGGTTGGAGACGAGGTTGGGTCGTTTGCTCTGTCCCTTGTGCACTTCCATGTCATGTCCCTTGTGAACTTGGTCACCAGAGCTGGAAAGTGCCACGAGGACCACAACCTCTCTCTCAGGGCAAAGTTCCTGAATTCTGTGCCTCCTGCCTGCAGCAACCAGCTGTTTCACACATGTGTTTTGATAGGGAAGTCTAAGCCCCGAAGGCCCGAGTCCTACTCCACCATTTACTACTAGCTGTGTGACCCTGGGCCACTCAGGAAACCTTCATTTTCCTTAGCCATGAGGAAGAGATATCAACGCTTGCCATGCCGATCTTGGAGGGTTACTGAGAAATTCAGATAGAACAGTGTAAGAGAAATGCATTAAAATCATGTACATGCAGTAGAAGTATTCATTCAGAAAACTCTTACCATTCACCTACTATGTGTGGCATTATGAAAGGTACTGGAGATTAAAAAATGAAAGCAAGGACATAATCTAAGAAACTTGCAACCCATCAAGGGGAAGGGCACCTGGCAAACTAACCGCCACATGGCAGGAACCAAGTGCCAGTTGAGCAGGAGAAGGTGTGTCTGGGGACAGGGAGCAATGCAGACGTCTCAGAGCGTAGTCCGCCTGGCAGTGAGGCTGCCATCAGATGGGGGGACCTCAGTGCCGTCCTAGAAGGCTCAGATGTTGTTATGAGGGCGGGAAGGAGCTGCCAAAAGTTTGTAAAGCACCATAATTATCGGACTGGGCTGGGATTTGCAGAAAACGCTGGTGGCAGCATGGAGGACAGAAATAAGGCATCATTATCATCACCATCCTCCTTCCACCAGACAGGGCCGGGAGGTGGCTCAACAATGGCTTAAGCGCCCTCGGTCTGCGGCACTGAGGCTGCCCCCGTGCCGGGTGGACGGCAGTCCCCTTGATGACGCCCCGTTGGGCTTTGTCTCCTCTCATTTCCAGGGAGTCTCCAGTGGACTGCAGCGTTAGCAAATGCAGCAAGCTGGTTGGTGGAGGCGAGTCCAATCCCATGAACTACAACAGCTACATGGACGAGAAGAACGGCCCCCCTCCTCCCAACATGACCACCAACGAGCGGAGAGTCATCGTCCCCGCAGGTACTGCCTGGCTGGCCATCCCCTTCTCCCTCCTTGGGGTTAGTAGTGGCAAGGTAGGCCTGCCCCTGTTCTCCATGGAAACGCAGAATTGGGAAGGCTGCATTTCCTCCCTTGTTCCCTACCTGCCCTCCAAGACGCATCCCAGTGTCACCAAAACTGATTCCAGAAGTTCCACCCTGAAGCAGATCCCATCACAGATGTTACGTCAGTGGCCTGGTCCCATAGGAACTAGGTCTGCAGAGAGGGCAGCAGCAAGGCCGCCTGAACCCAGACAGGCCTGTGAGTGCCCAGTCATAACTGTCCTTGCCCGTGAGCAGAAGACGGTTGCAGAAGGCTGACCTGCCCACCAGGCACAGACTTCCTGGCATCTGCAGGGTGCCACCTTTCCACAATTACAGCCAGCTCTTTCAGTTTTAAAATAGGAGTAACTATATTTAACAAATGGAGTGCCTTAGCGTGTGTACAATGAGATATGTCAGTATGTAAAAATAGCCTCTTTTTCCTAGGTATTGGCGTATTTGTTACAGAAAATAAAATCATTGTTCAGTGCACTGATCCATTGGCTGGACGCTCTGCCTTGGCTAAGCTCAGCTGCCTGGTCAAAAAGGGGTTTTGAAAGCTGCAACATGTGGAATTCGTGCCAGGTAGAAGAAGCGAGAACATCCAAATGTTAAGCAAAGTGAAGTATAGGGCAGGGATTAAAACTAATCTTACCAAAATCACTTTACCAAAAAGACAAAACCCCTTCCATTTGGAAAAGTGTAAATGCAGTTATGTCTGAAAGCAAAGGATTAGACAGCTCTTCGAGGTAGTCCAAAGGCGTGAGTCTGACGGTCCAGAAGGCGTGACTTTGTAAAGGGCCTCTCCTTCCCGGTCGCTTTGTGTCTGCCCATGGGAGTCTGTGTCTAACCACCTCCTAGGACTACAGGCACATCCAAGTGTTCTGGGCCAAATTAAACATGGCAGGGAGGAGGAAAGTGTCGGGAGGAGCAACCAGGAGATGGGTGGGGCTGACGTACATTTTTCTGTGCCCTATAGGACTTAAAGGGACCCCGGGTAGTGCAGTGGTTAAGCACCCGGCTGCTAACTGAAATTTGGTGGTTTGAACCCACCAGCCACTCCATGGGACAAAGATGTGGCCGTCTGCTTCTGTAAAGAGTACAACCTTGGAAACTCAATGGGGCAGTTCTACTCTGTCTTACAGGGTCGCTATGAGTCAGAATCAACTCAACAGCAATGGATTTGGTTTGGAAAAAAACAGCTCATAAACATTTTTAAGTTCCTTTTTCCAGAAGCAGGTGACTTAACAAAGGAAGAGGAAGCATTGTTGTTAGGTGCCATCAAGTAGCTTCCCACTCATAGCGACTCTGCGTACAACAGAACAAAACGCTGCCTGGTCCTGCGCCATCCGCATTAACTGAGTATTTTCTAGGTTGCAGGCACCATGTCAATGGCTTTAGATACATTACAGTTCTTATATCATTTAATGTTTGGTCTCCCATCTCCCTCAGAAGAACAGTTAGTAATGTTTATCCCAGGAGTTCTTGGGTGCTGAAAACACTTAAAGCGCTCAGCTGCTAACCAAAAGGCTGGCAGTTTGAGTCCATCCAGAGGCACCTCGGAAGAGAGGCCTAGTGATCTACTTCCAAAAACTCAGCCATTGAAAACCCTGTGGAGCACAGTTCTACTCTGACACACATGGGGTCGCCATGAGTTGGGGCCAACTGGATAGCAGCTGGTACTGATAAGGTCTAAGACAGCAGCATCCCCTCCCTCCTCACATAAAGAAGGCAGACAGTGAAATCGTATTAAAACTGACATGATTGGAAGGAGCATCTTTATGCTCCCCAAAGCAAAGTCAAGTCTCATCAGGCCTTTGCTCATTTGGTATTAAACTCTCCTGCCTCAGCCAAATAGCCACCAGCATGGGACTGATATCTTCAGAGACTGAAGGGCTAGGTATTCAGAGGTTATCTCAGAACCCACTGTTCGTTAGGTAGCTCACTCTGGGGAGGGCTCAGGGAGAGGGAGCAGAAGTAGCCAGGAAGCTCCTCTACACTCCAGCTCCAGACTGGTGTTGGGATCCTTTTGAAAGGAGTAACAAAACGTCCATCTTTAATGGACTAAGTTAGCCATAGCATAATCATGAAAATACCATAAATTCATATCAAACTGTTTTTAAAGCACTTCCATGTCATGAATTCACTACCTATGGATTTACATAATTGTCATACCTCTGGCTAAATCTCTAAGCTTTATCCGGAGACATTTTGGCTTCCACCAGGTCAGCCTCCTAGACGTGAGGGAAAGGCTCATTTGTACAAGTCCACAAATCAAGGCCATAAAACATTTGTGGAGCAACTGATTGAATTTATGGTGAGATTTTAAGACAAGTATAAACGAAGACCCTAGTTAATCACTAGCTCCACGTTCAGATGGGAAGAAACGAGGTCTAAATCATCCACGAAATACGTTTGGAAGAGCTTAGCCCGATCCAGAGTGGAAGATTTATAATTCATTGTGCTGGAGAGAGAGAGAAATAATATTGTGATAGAGCCCAAAGCAAGGGAGGAAATAAGAGAATAAATAAAATATACAGCGTAGAATTGAATGTGAGAAGTGAGGAGTTAGGAGACATGAAGGAGATCAGGTGAGAGAATATGCTGCATTATTCACCATAATCTCCCCCAAGACATTCCTTTAGAATTCTGAAATGGCTGCAGAATTATTTCTATTTACCAATGGTCCGTGCGTATTCCTAAGTGCTTCTGGAGAGTAAAAGAGAATCAATAAAACAAAGCAAGGAACTTATCCAAGAAAGAGAAAGGTGCATACTTGAAAAAAGAAACTTTATGAGAAGCTCAGGTTTTCGGCATAAGAGCAGAGTAACTCACAGGTGAGGGAAGCCAGGATTGTGTGAAGCCAAGACTCAGGGTGGCTGGGGGGAGACGGGAGTCCTGGTGCTCAGCTGTTAACCGGCAGTTCAAACCCACCAGCCGTTCCTTGGAAACCCTATGGGACAGTTCTACTCTGTTGTATAGAGTCGCTCGCTATGAGTTGGAATCAACTCAGTGGCAACGAGTTTGGTTTTTTATTTGTTTGCTTGTTTTTTGGCTTGTGGGGAGACCTACCTCTCCAACCAAGTTAAGTCCTTTGAAGACTTTGGTTGAGATTCCAGCTCAGACACTCACAAGCAAAGGGGCTTTGGGCCAGCCGCGTAGCCTTTCAAGACTCCAATTTCCATCTCAGAATAGGGATGAAAAAACCAGGACTTCTAACCAGTTCCTTCCAGTTCGAACTCCTGCTGAGAATTTGCATTTCTAACAAGTTCCCAGAGGATGCTAAGGCTGCTGGTTAGGGACCAGTTCTGAGAACCACTAGTAGAGCAGGCCCCTCAAGTGGAATGACCTCATCTTTATGTTAGTCACGCTCACTCAAGGGCTCAAAGGTTTTCTCTCTCTGACACCATTTCTCATCTTTGGGGATTTAAATATCCTAAAAACTTCAGAAATGTTTGATCTAGTAGGAATTTCAGCACAGCTGCCCCCAAAACAAGAAAAGCCGGACTGGAATTATGCTAAAGACTGACGCCACAGATGGGGTTACCGTAAGTGTGTGTGTATTTCCCCCGCAGAGAGATCTGAGTTCTTCCATGAAATCATTACTATTTTTAAAATACAGAAGGTTGGTCTTTCCAGGGATAGTGGCATTGCGTTTATTTTCATTTCGATGCCACCATATATCAGGAAAAGGTTTTAATACCCTCTGAAAACTTTAAAGAGCATCCCTGTTAGGGTACACAGCATGGCATCTAAGACCCTCCCCAGAGGGCTAAGTGGTTTGGGCAGTCCAGATGTGGTGGAGCCAGGTGGGTGTCGGGGAGGGGCACCTGGGAGGGGGCCGGCTGCCCCACAGAGGCAGAGAGAAGCAGCCTAGGCCCAGGCCGCCCTTGCTGACCGGCCCCTCTCCTCTGCAGACCCCACGCTGTGGACGCAGGAGCACGTTCGGCAGTGGCTGGAGTGGGCCATCAAGGAGTACGGCCTACTGGAGATCGACACCTCCTTCTTCCAGAACATGGACGGCAAGGAGCTGTGCAAAATGAGCAAAGAGGACTTCCTCCGAGCCACCTCCCTCTACAACACCGAAGTGCTGTTGTCACACCTCAGTTACCTCAGGGAAAGTAAGTGTGCTGTCTGCTCTGGGGCCGCTTCACAGCGCGGCATGGGAGCCCAGGGTCAGGGGCCGGGCCCCAGCTGTGCTCTGCCAGGCCTGCTTCATCAGGACCGAGACCGGTTCCCATGGAGCCGGCCCAGGGAGAGGAAACTGATTCCCTGCTATGGGTTTATGTTGGACGGAGGCTGAGGGAGCGGCAGATTTGTGCCCTATAAAGTTGCCAAGATCAGGACAACTCCTACAGACCCTGCCAGGGGCAGGCTCAAGCCTGCATGTCAAGTGTCCTCTGCAGAGAGTGGAGGGAAGGAAAATAAGAACGGAGAGAAAGCAGAGAGCTGTGACCTCGCGGGGTCTCCAGGGGCTAGCCTCGCTCTTCCGGTGAGAAGGGCAGTCTCTTCCCCTTCCCAGAAACCACGGTGCCCTGTTATTGTACACAGGTGGATACCCTGGCTGATGTTTTCCTGGGCAATGATTTAAAGTTCCTACAGGAAACTCTGGATTTGTAGATGATTAGAATCCAAGGTTTTGAAAATTTACATATTAACGTCCTCTTATCCGAGGGTCACTCTGTCACTCCCTGTTGTTGTTGCTCCTTGTTGTTTGGTTGATTCTGACTCATGACGACCCCATGTGTACAGAGCAGACCTGCTCCATAGGGTTTTCAAGGCTGTGACCTTTTGGAAGCAGATCGCCGGGCCTGTCTTCCAAGGCGTCTCTGGGTGGGTTCGAACTGCCAACCTTTCAGCTAGCAGTCGAGGGCTTGACTGACTGCAGTACTCCCTAACCCCACCTTTACATGGCTGCTTCTGCCACTACTACCTACATGCTTCCTTGCTAAACAGGGATCATAGCAGATGTGACAGATGTGTTAGAATCTACTGGAAGCTTTCTCCTGGTACATCGCGAAGAGCTAAGGGAGCTTTGGGGAGGGAGAGCTTATGAAAGAAAGCAAGCAGTTGTCCAAACTATTTATCCAGTATGAGGGTTCTCTAGCACCAATCTCTGGTCAGTTCTGTCCTTTGATATAAAATGGACACTAAGAATAGCAACAGAATTCTCTGAGGTTCTTTGATGACGTCAGCCTTAACCTTCACCAGAATTCCAGGCCAGGTAGACTATCAGTGCTATCCCCAAGTATTTGAAGGGTTGCTCTATTGTCTGAAAAGATGGTACTAGGGTCAGGGAATTGAAGCTACAGGAAACAGATTTGGGCTTGCTCTCTGCAGAAACTTTCCACCCAGCAGTCCTGTTCAGGGCTTCATTCCAATTCATCCCGGTTTGACTCCCTGCTGAGAATTTGAATTTCCACCACAGATATACTGAATCAGAATCTACAGTTTAACGAGATCCCCAGGTGATTCTTATGTGTAATAAATTTTTTGAGAACCACTGCTCTATAGAGGTTCGAAGCCCTGGTCCTGTCCAAAGGTAGGCTGGGCAGCCTCAGGATGCAGCCAGCGTGCTGTCAAAGCCCGAGGCTGCTGGGAATCTTGGCGGAGTCATTGGATGGGATGGTGTTTAGATGGTTTCACCAAACCAGTTGTCACTGAATCGATTCTGACTCATGGTAACCCCCTGTGCGTCAGAGTAGAAGTGATTCATAGGGTTTTCAATGACTGATTTTTCAGAAGTAGATCTCCAGGCTTTTCTTCCAAGGTTCCTCTGGGTGGACTCGAACTTCCAACCTTTCAGCTAGCAGCCAAGCGTGTTAACTGTTTGCACTACCCAGAGACTTCTAGATGATGTTAAGACCCCTTCGAATGCTGAGAGCCTCCCCTTGCACCTACGATGCCCACTTTCCTTGTCTCGTTGGCTCTATGTCGGTTACTTCCTTGTTTCTTCTTTATTGCTCGGTGACACTTTAACTCACCATCTTTGCGATCCTCTGTCTTGTTCTGCACAGTGCACCACGTAGGGTGCAGAGGGGGATACATACTGGCTGTAAAAAAGAAAAACAGAAATGCCTTTGGAAGTTTCCTTCAGTCCCTCCAGGCTATCTGGTGGGTCACCCCTCAGAGGCATCTGGTAAGCAGTGGGAAGTGTGGAGATGCAGTGTTTGTTAACACCAGAGCAATGACCTCATGTCTGAAGGGTTTTTTTTTTGCAACATGAGGTCAGCCCAAGACACAACCATTTCAAAAAGGGGGGTTCCATTTCCCACCTAGTTTTTTTGTGCTTTGGATAATTAGCATTTTCTAATCTATAGTTCTCAGCCTTTAAGCATTTGGAGAATTAAAAAAATGGGACCTTTGATGAATAGAATGCTGTAGTGAGACTAGGCAGGGCAGGGGTGGAGGTAGGCACAGTGAGGGTGGGCAACAAGAAGGAGAGACTAGTAAAGCAAAAACTCTGATCAGTTCTGCGTTTTCCACTTCTCCCCGGCATCCTCTGTGGCTGGAGGTTCAGGAATCACTGACACCTTCGCTTCGTCTGTGAGAAGAGGTGCAGAAGCAGCATGTTCTGAATGGTTAGTGGCCCTATCATTTCGGGCACTACAGCAAACGCCCTTGTTGGGGGACTGTTCAAGCACATTCTGACTGCGGGTGAGGAAGTCCGTTCGAGCCATGGGATCCCCAAGCACCGCGTTCTCAGGAGCCCAGAGCAGCCCAGATCCCAGCTAGTACCGACCAGTACCTGTCACAGATGAGCCCCAGCCACAGACACTGAAGTGAGACCAACACCTGGTCAGGGATGTGATAAGAAGTGGCTCCATTTGGGGAGGATTTCCATTGGAGGGATAAAGGACAAAGGGCTGAGCAGGTGGTGAAGAAGTGGGGGCCGGAGAGCTCAGTATTTTGGGGGTGTAGCATGATGAGTGGATTGCTCTTTCTTTGTTGTTGTTAGGTACCGTCAAGTCAGTCCTGACTCATAGCGACCCTTTGTACGACAGAACGAAACACTGCCCGGTCCTGTGCTGTCCTCACAATCGTTGCTATGTTTGAGCCCGTTGTTGCAGCCACTGTGTCAATCCATCTCATTGAAGGTCTTCCTCTCTTTCGCATATTTGTAGATATAAAGGAAAAAGAAAAAAAAAAAAACATTGCCGTCGAGTCGATTCCGACTTATAGCGACACTATAGAAAGGAAGGTGTCGTGAAGTAGTAAAAGTATGGAGTTTTCAAAAAGGAGCATATTTGCAGAGTAGGGAGGTGATGGAATGAAGCACATACGTGGAAAATCTTTGACGATGCAGGACAGTTTTCCTGAATCAGGAAATGGCTGGATAACAATAGTGCATCTACAAGATGCAAGGTTACTTTACCATTAAAATAAGTTTTGTGGAAAAACACGGAAGCTGTGATACAATGTTGAGAGAAAAAATCTACACATCAAGAGGTGTGCACATTGGTAGAAAAACAATGTCTGCCTGCAAAAGCAGAATTGATAATAGTTATATTAAGATTAAAAAAATACTTGCCCCAGAATAGTTTTACAATAGTCTAGGGGCCTTTTTAGGAACTTAGACTGAAAAGGATCTACCTCCAGGAGAAAGCCTGGACTCCTGCTTCCTCCTAATTTGGGGAGGAAAGCCCCCCACCCCCCAGCGCTAGAGTGGTATCAGCATTCAGGCTTCCCGTGCTGGGACTCTATGGAGTTGGGTGACGGTTGGCTTGCTAAGATGCCTGCGCTGTCCCCAGCACCCCCGCCCCCCGACCTGGTGACTGTCTGCAATCTGCTCTGGGAATTGCTGGGAACGCCCTCCTGCAGACCGAAATGCCTCAAACACATTATTGTTTTTCCAGACTTATTTCCAGCGGATGTTTTGTGCTTAGGCAGGGAGGTCAGTGCTTTGGGGAAAGAGGTTGGGGCGACTGAGTCGAAGGGGCGCTAATTCCTGGTGCTTTGTCATCTTGTCCTGTGGGGAAGAGGGGGCGGGGTTCAAGCATTTCCACTTTGACACTAGGTGGAAGGGAAATGGCCGGGACCCTCAGCACCGATGGCACCCTCACGGTGGGGTGAGGGCCAGTCGACGGAGGAGCTGTGGACTGAGCTTGCAAAGCTGTCAGAAGGGGCCAGAGTGGTCGGAATTTAGTAGACAAAGGGAAGCCTTGCAGGATAAGACGTTCTCCTGGCATCTAATTTATACTTTCACAAAAGGTACTTGAGTATTTATTCTGGCTGCCTGGGAGGGGAACCATACTTTAAATTTTAAGTACTGAGCATGTATTTTCCAGATTGGAGAAGAAATAGCAATGTCTTGAATCCCTATATTGGGGGAAAAAAAAAGTTACCATCAAGTCAACTCCAACTCATGGTGACCCCATGTGTGTCAGAATAGAACTGTGCTTCATAGGTTTTCAAGGGCTGAATCTGTAGAAGTGGATCACCAGGTCTTTCTTCTGAGGCACCTATGGGTGGACTCAGACTTCCAACTTTTTGGTTAGCAGCTGCAACCATTTGTACCACCCAGGGCGAGTCTCTATAAATACTGTCTAGTGCCCTGGGGTGCTGGGATTTACTTGGCCTGTCTGGAAGCGCTTGTTCTTCAAACCTTGGCATTTCAGCTGTCCCAGGCTGAGTGGATGTGTCCTACCCAGGCCGCTGTAGCGTCACCTCCACTTGTAATGCAGGACTGTGGGGCTGGGGCTGGGGCTGGGACTGGCAAGGACACCCAGGGTACTTAGTTCTGAAGTCTTCCTGAGTAACACCAGGGCTCTGCCTGGTCTCCCCAGGTGTTACTCAACGTGGACAGGCTGCCCCCTTGTGGACACCATGCTGACAGCTATTTATAATCCCCATTTTAAGGTCAAAGCAACTGAGGCCAAGAGTGCTTCCAAAATCGGATCACAGGTGTACAGCCCGTGAGAGCAACCTGGCATCTAAGACTCGGGCCTTTTAACTGCCAGCCTGAAGCCTGGTCCACAGCCCTGGGGGAAGGATGGAGAGAAGCAAGCTAACCTGCACCACACTGGTTCCCCGTCTCGATTTAGAACTGGCCTCACTCCCCTGTGGCTTCCACTTTAAGGGCCAGGCCACTTTTCCTACAGCATTGTCTGGTTTGATTTGT